ACTACTACTACTGCTACGACGACCACTGTGATGCTACTATGCTGCTTGCTGCAGCTGCTGTTGCTGCTGTGGAAAGACAAATGCTGCTAACAGCATGTTGACTATCTCTCGCAAGCTAAGACCATCAACTTGCAAGCCTAAGCCTCCGACACCGATGCATCTGCATCGGAGAGGGCGATAGAGACGGGCGTCGTCTGCTCCACGAGCTCTGACTTCGTATAGACCTGTCCCCACGTCAGAGAAGGCATTCCGGGCTCGGTGGGGGTTCAAGTTTTGGGGCTTACGGGGTCCAGCAATTCAGAAACAACTCCGTTGGATGCTGATTCTGGGCCCACGACAGAAAGGGCGCTGAACGTCTGAAGGGCTGTCTCCTGGGCTCGGTTCCGCTTCAGCTTTTGTGAATCCGCTCGGGGCTTTGCAAAGCTGCTTCAGCTTTTCAGAATTGCAGTTGTGAGAGGAGCTGCGCTTTGCGAATCCTTTGCGATCGGGTACATACTATTCACAGGCTCGGGGGCATAGTTTTTGTTCCTCAATGGCCGCGCTGATGCATAGTCAGCAACAAGTGTAACATCTTCAGCGACATCAGGATCATCCTCATAGTGATGACTATCACGATAAAACTGATCATGCAAGAGCTTTTGTTGTCGGCCCTCCTCCTCCTCCTGCTGCTGTCGCACGTACTATTACGTACTCTATCGTGCTGCTGAACATCTCATACCTGTCTTTCTAGCGCTCACCTCACATCAATAAACCCCTGCTCGTATTCCCAAGAAGTTCTGCTGGACCGGAAGATCCAACATCACCCTGATGAAGCTGCAAAGTCTGAGCACGTGGCAGCAGGCAATTCGAGAACGGTGCTGGTGTTGGGAATGTCGCTGCCTCCGTGATATGGCTGATGCGCGCTTCCGGGCATTGGCCTATCTATAGACGTTGATGATTGTAGCCCTGAAAAGCTTCAGCTTTGGGTTCAACCAGCGAATAAAACAAAGACCAAGGTTTGCCTCAAAAGTGTGCACCGCTGCACGATGCCTATACTATTCGGACACCCATCGACAGCGCAGGAGACGGCAAGCCTTCTGATTCTGCCATTCCAAAAGCCCTGAACCCCAACACCACCCTTTGAAACCGCCAACGCTTGCCAGACACTCGCCCGCCACTCGCTCGCAGAGGGACCGAGAGAGCAGGTGGAAGGCGAGAGCACAAGACTGCTAAGCTGGTAGTCGAAGATGCATTTCGAGCAAGCCCAGCAAGGGCAACGACTCGAGACTGCAAGGCTCATGCGAAGCCCGAAGATTGTATTGAGCATGCACTATCCATCGTGCCTATCCTCGAACAACTCGAAAGCTTCAGAGGCTTTCAGAAGGTGAGGCTAGGGAGCTTTCGGAAGGCATGTCGCGGTTCCTGCAACGGCACATGCTCAACATGCTCAAAGATGCTTGGCCGTCCTCTGCCGCTGCCAACGCAAAGCATGCAAACAAGCACAGGCCCACTAACATTAGCTCCGCTTCTGACACATGTGATGTTCGTCCAGACTGGACGACCCGTGAATGCGTGTTGAATGTGCGGCATGGATAGTTGTCTATCTTCAGCATCTAACACTTGGAGTCGTTGGCTATGCTCCCAGTTTAGCAGGGCAAGAAATGTACTCGATGGAAGCAGACCAACTGGAAGCAGCGGTAGCATAATTGAAGATGAAAACACCACATGTCATATATGCGCAGCCTATATTCTATATGCAAAGCCGCTCATCCTTGACCACACTAGTATCCCACGCAACCGCAACTTTATTAGTGCCTCTGTCGGCATCAGAGCTTGTGAAATCAACGTCGACAAGAGCCAGAACACCATTCTCAATGACCCGACGGCAGTAACTAAAGCTGGCCATAAACAAATTCAGCAACAGAAGAATGATCTCGCAGCCTGCAACAGGTAATCTAAGCCATCTAAGCAGCCAGCCCACTTCTGCTCGGTTCGATGCAAGCAGCGAAGATCGATAGACAGGAGACTCTGACCAGTTCTTTAGAGTCTAGATTCGAGGACTCAGGCACAGACCGGCCTAGGAGGGAGCGGCTGCCGACTGAGGGCGGGAGCTCCGAGAGGTAGAAAACGAAACTTTCCACCTTCTTCCCGTGTAGGCCAGGCTTCGATCTTCGGGTCTGGATCTCACAGCGTTTTTGGAAGTTCACGCCTACGTCTTCGGGATGCCTGGGCTCGGACTTGTTGCTCGGTGGCTTCATCGTCTCTTCAAGGCCACACTTGCTGTACTGACGAAAATACTAAATCAAGATTTGAATAGAACGTCCTGGTTTTGTGACATTGTCATTCCCCGAACAGCGCTATACAGAGTCTGGTGACTCTGGTGCCCATGCTGCTTTAAAAAGGCCGCACACGGCCCACCTTTCGGCCGTGAAATATCTGAATCCTGTCAGTACTTGGGGGAAGGCAGTTTGGCAATGCTCCGAAATCCCGCCAGTACTCTGGGAACACGTTTTCGCCATGCTTCTGACTCCAGAAAGTACTTGGAGGCATTGCAGTGCTCCTGAATCCCTTTGCGGTCTTCGGCTGGTCCTGCGCTGGTTCCCTGGCGGTCTCCAGATCCGTCGTCTCTGGGTCTCCTGGGGCTTTCTTGGTCTCTTCGTGGTCGCCTGATGATCACCTCTTGCTCGTGGTCGTCCTGATCGTGCTGATCGTAATGCCCGTCAAGGGCTCCTGGTGGGTGTTGTTGTCCTGGCCGTCGTGATCGGCTAATATGACTCTGCGGGGATCTATGCTAGCATCATTTGATGAACACAAAGAAATGGGATTTCCTGCAACACCTTTCTGACACCATGGAAAATTCGCTCTTCCAGGAAACATGCCCTGGAACCATCTGAGTTTCGGACCCAGGTGATGTGCTTCGCACTCCCGGCTTTGCGCATGTATGTGTTGATGTAGGATTATTGCACGAATACATGCAGGTACAGCCTCAAGAAGCAACAGGCGCTACGAACGACAGTCAAAGATCTGCTCCGAAGGCCCTGGGCGAATCGGGCTCAACTAGGCAGCCGCTTTGAGCAAGCCCTAGGCCCTACGCCCGACTCGAAGTCTGAAGCAGCAGAAGCCCAAGCTCCATCCAAGCTGCTCTGGAAGCTCCGAGGCTGTCTTCCAGCCTTGCACCAGAGCTCAGAGATGCTCACACAAGGCTTCAGAAGTCCAAAGCTTTCTGACTACAATCCTGCTGGTATCCTGGATCTGGTTCCGGAGCCAGCGAGTTGCACGTATACCGTATAATACCATATAGAGCCATACAGAGGCATCGCTTTAGTGAAGATGGTTTAGCTGAGCTGCCGAGCTCAGTCTGAAGTAAACTGCGCGGAGCAATCGCAAGAAAGCATAGTATGAGCATAGATTCACCAAAGAAAAGCTCAGACTCCGAAATGTCCCGTGCAAGCTCCAAAACGGAGAAGCCAAGACCTTTCAACATGGACCCCGGTGCGCAAGGAGAGGCTGAGAAGCAGACCCCCAACGAATATATCCTCCAAGCTGACTCACATCCAGGTCCTTGCAGGCATCATGCTACCGACGTAGAAGATTCTTTACTTCGCTGCTGTTTGCACTGCCTGGTCAACCAGCCGATTTCAAGCTCAAGGTGATTGCGCGCGCGGGCAGCTGGACTCCCCAAAATCCGACTCGAAATCATCCCAACAGCAAATCTTGCGTCCTCATCCGCGAAGGTGACGTTGACGACACTCGCCTTAGCTTTCAGTTCTCGTTCATAACATGCCCCCTCCAGCAACAAGCTTCTTGGATTCTGCAGCTATCCGCGCCAAACTTCCACTCCAAACTTTTCCAGTCGATCCCTTGCCACTGGACAACCACCGAACTTTCGCAAACATCCTGAGACAATCCGGCCCCTCAGGCATGGCCTCCGCGTCCTCCACCCGAGTGCCGCCCGATGCGATGCTGGACTCAGCATATGCTGATTCAGCCTCAAGTGCAAAGCCAGAGTCGTTCGAGACGGGGCAGAGTGGGCATTGTGACTATGGCTGACAAAGTAAAGCTTCGATCTATGACGGAAATTGCAGACGCAAAGGTATTAAAAGTTCGGGCCAAAAGACTTTATAAGACTTTGCAGGTGAAGGTGCTTTAGGTTCCAGCTTCAGAAACCGCAATCACCACGTCCCTGCACCGACGCTGCTGCCAAGCCGCGTAGATCAGCAGGTGCGTTGCATTACCTAGTTGCGTCTCTGCCTTGTCAAGTGATTCGTGACTTGCAACACCTACTCACTGTCAGCAAGAAGTTTTCAGAGTTCATAACATGCTTCTCTCGCAGCCCATCAAACAAGATGCGTTGCAAAACCGATGCATGGCTTCAGCAGACATCGCCAACGATCTGAAATCGGCTCAAGCAAAGAGAGCGCCAATCCCAAGCCTCATTCGAGTCATTAAAAAAAAAGAATCCAGAGTCTTTCCAGCATCGCGCAAACCCTGGAGGATGTGCGATTGCTGCCCAAGATCCGGCACATCAAACGAAGTGGCTTGCACTGGCAGTGATCCAAGCAGTTGCCTGCATGAGTATAGGATTGAAATGGATCGAGTGTCTTGACTCGACGGGGTAAGGCCGCTTGATTCTGGGTATGCAGACTCAGAACCGACATGCTCTCAGGTCGGGAAGATTAAATTCGAAGCTAGCATGCTGGAGTTTTGCAGCTCTAAAGCTTGTAAGACCTTTGCGAAGGGACAGAAGCCACAGGCTGCTTTGCTGCAAGATTGTTTCAAAAACAAAAAAGCGTGTTCTTCTGCGTCTTTCCATGCGGTATCCAGTCTGACGAGGGGTGGGGAAGCCTCTTCAAGATGCCCGGCCAAGGTGCCCTTGCATTGAGTAAAGAATGCCTTCCCGAGCTTCTGCTGATTTCTTCAATTTTCAAGCATCGCTGCCTACTCAACCTAGCCGCCCTAGCCTTCGTAGAAATCTATAAGCGACCCGTTCATGCTCAAGCTTAAACCGCTGGCAGCTCCAAGTCTGAAAGGCTGCGCAGGCCTCTGCGCACAGAAAATCAGCCGAGTTCTGGTGAAGTTCAGCAACGCGATGAGCTCTTGGCTGTCAGAGACCTCCAGACGAGGATGCGGGACGATGTGACTAGGACTAGCTTGCAAAGCGTCTGCGCAAGTACATGCCAAGATGGAGCTCCCTCGAATGCCACACGCGGCCTGGCAATCTCTTGACGATTTTAGGTCCGCCATTGTAGCTTGAGCCCGAGTGCATCTGGGCACGTCAGTGCCGGGGGGGGTTCAACTGCATGCATCTGTCTGAAGACAACTCCCTTGTCACATGTTTTGGTTCAGCGAACTACGACGTAACTACGAACTACTGCCCGCCTACCTCATGTGACACCTTCCAAAACACATCCATAACCCGGCTCAAAGAGCAATGTCACCGTCCTATCCTGAAGGAGTCCTGACCCTTCCACCCCAACCCATCACGACATTGTCAAAGTCCCGGGTTTCACCTCCGTGGCATTGGAGCCCACAGAGCTGAGTCTTCGCACAGGCACCTAAAGAGGGGCCATGGCTCAGAGCAGCAACAGCGGACCTCTTGTAGGCAGTTCAACATGTCAAAGGCTCTATGATCTCCTTTCAAGGGCCTCCTTCCCCGGATGCGTGCTGCACATTGACATCATCCGTAGGGTAGGATACTTCGTCTTGCAGCAAGCACTACCGAAACATTGCTGCTTCCAGAAATCAGATTTGGTACAGGTCGGATTGCGGCAGCATGGTTTAACTGAGTTTAACTTCTGTTGAATCCAGGAGCATCCGAATCCTCGCCCACATCCGTCTCGTTGACCTTGATCTCGAGCTCAGGGTTGAGTAATGTGTTGACAGTTGCCCACTCGTCAGAACCACTCTACAACCCGAAAGCGCTGATTGAGGACTGCAACACGAAGCCTGAAAGCGCCACAAAGGTTGGGGATGTAATGGTGCCTAGGGAAATGCTGCACCAGGTCGTTCCACAGCTGACATGTCTCAATGCAGCCATGCCGCATCCGTATCCTCCCCCGTGTCCTAAGCTGGGAGTGCTCTAAAGTCTATGATGCTTGCAGGGCGTTCCATCTTTGGCACCCGAGCGCACAAGATCGAATCGTGTAGCAGGTGTAGCATTCTGAAAAACTTATCGATGAGGGCAATTGAGGCTCAGTACTTTGAGGATTGTGCCTTCTTTGCACGTGTGTTCATGTTCTGATAGCTCAGTGAAGGCATCTCACACTCTTAATGGAATCCAACCTACTTAGCAACGCTAGCTCTTCAAAAGAATCTTGTACTGACAAAGAAGGGCACCGGCAGTCTCAGACATGTCGCGGCAGTTGTTGTTAACGTTGCTGTCGTGGAGGTATGGAATGCCGTCGAGGTTGAAGTCCTGGTTTTCGAGGTTGTGGTTGCACTAGTTGTGGTCGCAATCCACGTCGTCGTGCTTGTGGAGGTCGCAGTTGAAGTCACGTTGTCAGCCTTTGCAAATGCGGGCCCTCTGTCTGCGACCCTGAGTCTGGAACTATGCGAGACCTGAGCAGGAAACACATTCTGCATTCTATGCACGATTCCACGATCCCTGCGGATCAAAGTCGCTGAATTCCCCCTCAACCCTTGAAGCGGTGCTGGCGTGGCACGTCTGAGTCCTCGGAGTCATCCTCCTCGATACAAGAATCTGACAATTTCACTCTCACATGCGTGTGCGTGCTGGGGATATCCGATGCTTGAGTATTGTGCTGGGGCCTCCACGGATGGACAGCGTGGCTTTTGCGGGGGGGCTCCAGGTCGACCCGAACAGCTAACGAGCTAGCAGGTCGTCGGCTAGATATCAACATGATTCTTCAGTGCCTTACACGGACTTAAGTATTGCCTCACAGGGACAAGCAAGACACGGTTAGTAGCTGCCCAACAGCTTGAATGCTCCTTCTGCGATCAACAGAAGCCTAACAGTAACACCATTGCCTGGAGCTTGGCGTCGAGAGTAGTGAGTCCCTAATAGAACTTGTCGTGCTCTGGGGCAATCGCGAACTGGAAGTAATCGAGCCGTGCAATACCCAAACAAGCACCGCAATTCATACGGCAAACCGAGTTCCCCGTATGTCTAGGAATGTCCGTCGCCCAGTGACAATCAAGACTTTCGCCCGAATTCGTGGTCGCGTAGCCTACCCGGATACACACTCAGCCAGAAATCATTTGCCCCACAGGTTGGGGCTGCACAACTTTGCAGAGCCATGCATCTGATTCGGTTGTGGTCGAAGTGGTGGTTCGAACTGCACTGCTGTCGTTGTCGATGTCCACCACATCATCCTCTGTCCCGTTCGTCACATTGAACACAGTGCTGAAGCTCGGGAGCACGGACGGCAGCTGGTCCACTCCGACTAGCTGAACTGTGACTCTGGCGAAATTGACCACAACCTCAGCACCACGGTTAGGGGAAGGATGCCGTGCTTGTCCCAAACAGACCGGGTGAAGCCTGTCCCAGGACCTCAATTCAACTGCATGAAATCTTTGAAGCCATCAACCTCGTTTCCCACCCTTCACGGCCCTCAGATAGTACATCTTGACTCCTCCAAGCCAAGCCCGAGGCCAGCGATATCATGGCCTCAAAACCGAACCCCCTCAGCACCAGAATCTGAGTTTTGGACCTCAACAGGCGACCCTGTACCCTCTGCTGAGGAAAACTCTGGAAGCTTTCATGGCAGCAACAAGGGCCGCTTGCCAAATTGAAGAGCAGTCTTGAGTAATAAAATGTTCCGATTGCGAATCTTTCCGCAAAACGCGCGAGGTGGCGATGTGAAGCCGGAAAACCACTAACAAGATAAACAACATCCTTTGCCCGCTGCCAAGATACCAAGGAGGTGGCAACCACTGCACTGTCCACGCCGGCGGCTACAAACTCCACAACCATGGCAGTCCTGGCAAGAGTTCGGCCTAGGAGCTGTCGGATGCCTGGGCTTAGACTTTGCAGGGGTGCAACAAGCCTGATGCGGCTTTCTTATAGCTGAGGGTCTTGGATTTAAGGTGCCGCAGCTTCAAGGATTCACTTACGCGCGTCGAATCCAAACCTCTAAGGCATGGAACAAACAGTGTCATCCCCATCTGTAGTGCTTAGCAGTCTTGCCGTGTGTCGGCTACTTGGTTGCATGATGTTGCGTGTGCTCGTTGAAATGGGAACCAACAACTCAATGGACAGCTATCGCGATTATCTTACCCTCTTTCACAGCACACAGGAACCCACCAATCCAAAATCTTTACACGCCGATCCCTGCAAACTACCTGCTCTACTTAGACTTGTGCAGCCTTTCAAATTGCAGGCCTGAAGGCAGCGGTATCGGCACCCACTGCGCCTGCCGTGGCCACTAGTGATGCAGCCTGTGCGACATGGTGTTGCACAACGCTTCAGGCGATCGATGGAGGATTCGGAGCGTAAAAAATCGGACTTGGCAAGTTCGGGCCAGTGTGGGTAGGTCCAACTGAAACGAACATAAACTTGCAGGCTGTACTTGCAGCTCCTCACTCGAACTAGGCAGTACACAACCAGCACTGGTTCGGCGACGCCGCCGACGACGACGACGACGACTACCACTACTACTTAGTAGTATGAGTAGTAGTAGTAGTAGTAGTACTACTACTACTACTACTACTGCTGCTACTGCTACCATACTAGCACTAGTACTAGTCCTAGTACTGGTACTAGTACTTGTGGTAGTACTACTACTACTAGCCACCCCCCCCTCCTACCAACCACCTGGCGCCTCAATCCACCACCATCATCGGTCATCATCATCCATCATCATCCTTCATCATGCATCATAATCATCATGATCACCATCATCAACCATCA